ACACACACACACACACACACACACACACACACACACACACACAGGTGAAGACTGCTGGGCGTTCGAGCAAGTAATAAAACTGGGACTGAAAAGACAGCTTCTGCTAGGGAAACTCTGACTACCTCATCCTGGTGATCTCTAAGAAGCAAAATTGTTGAACCAATCAAGAGCAGAGGCACTTCTGACATAGCTCGGAAAACCTGTACATGATTCTCGCACAGCTCAGAGATACTGAGTTGTCAATATCAAGAATGACAAGAACGGAAAGAAATAAAAAAATCTGAGGGGGGTCGAAGTCAGGAATATCAGCACCACTTCTTTCAGGGTCGGTGTAAGCTCCCTCAAGTCCCGATGCAATGCAATGCGGTGTGCCACTGTTGTCCGCATGTCGGTCATCAGCGTCACGCTTATCATCGGATTCCACCGTCAAACCTGATTGACAACCTCCTGGTTACTCTCCTTGCAGACATCCCGTACATGCAATGCAGCTTTCAAGCATCGACTTCAGGCAGCGCAGAATTGTTTGCCTACGTGTTTGAGAAGCAAGCCTGGAGAACGTTTCCTGTAGTCAAAGATTGGGAAATTATGTGTTAGTGCTGGCATCATGCCAAATACAATGGCTCAAATCATGCTCATACACAGAACTGTTGGGATCTTGGAGGCACATGGCTGCCGACTTCATCAATCAGTCGCACAGCCGACAACTGCAACCACCAACCACAGACCGGCAATATCTGATATGCTGCTAGCCCCGCAAAGCAGGAGTATGTTGGGCGAGGTGACGACTGTGATGGGATGGCATACCATCTTTTTCCTTCAGGATTTGCTGAGGGTGGACACTTATCTTCCACTCACAACTTGCATGGCACACGAATGCCGTCCACCCATTTGTGCCCACACCTCACCTCCTACCGCGACGCCACCGTATCCTGCCATCCACATTGAGTATCTCACCCTTTGCCCCACTGCCCTCCTGCCTGCCTGCCTGCCTGCCTGCCTGCCTGCAAGACATACTATTCATCACGCCACCTAGACACTGCTTTGTAAATCCCTGAATCCAAAGTGATATCCACTGGGCAGGACACCTGATCGCAAAGTGAAGCAGATGAAAGAGCAGGTGCCGCTGGTGCTGTGTATGTGCCAAGTTACCACGAACCTCCCCAGTTTGGGGACCAGATTCATGCTCCGTGAGCACATACATAGCACCAGTGCGTCGTCGGGACTACCATGCTCTATGTATCCCAATTTCGCCACGCAGATGATCTTACGATTGGCTCCGCGCAACCTGCAGTTTTCAGAATGATCCTGCATGTGCCCTGGCCAGTTTACCCTCTGCCCTTCTCAGGCATCCAATCATTCCGGAACGCCTAAATAGTTTCAAGATAAGATGTATACATTCTCTACAGCATCCCCTCACTCTCTCAGCCTCCATCAACCTGTACCATGAGAGCCACCAGGGGTACTGTACACTGGGGCTCCATAGCAATCACGGGCTTTCCCTGACCTGCTGAAGATTGATGACTGAGATCTTGAGAGACAGCAGCAGGCGTAACAGAGAAGCGCTCCATGTGAGCGTTGCCTGTGGCATGAACTGGAGTGGCTTCATTTGCATAAGGAGATGCAGTCATGCCGGCCCCCGCAACAGCAGATCGGATGGGAGATTGCGCAGTTTCAGCAGATAGCGCCTCTTCTTGTCTCTTCTGCACCAGTGTGACCGGAGGCATCACAGGGTCATGTTGGCTTGCACGCAGAGGCACAGAGGTGGTAGGTGGTGGTGATCGCTGTACCGGGAAGCTGGCTTCCACAACTGGCTTGACAACCTTAACGTACGGCGCAACATCATTTTTCGGAGTTATCGGAATGGAGGCCCCTGGACGGAACACCAATCCTCGAAGAACCTTGTTCGTTTCCCCAACTCTCACCGTCAAGAAGTAGCCTGCACTGAACGCCCCATCCAGTACCCCTTGCACTTTCTGTCCTACAAACTGCTGCTCCGGACTGCTCACTCGACTTCCATCTCCCCCTGCACCCCTTTTCCGGCTTCTACTACTTGGCTGAGCGGCACGCGGCGACCATGGCTTCTGCTGCTGCAAGTAATACTGCTGTTGCACTTCCATCTGTCTCGGCTGCATCCACTGAGGATCCTTCGGTTGCTGAACAGGCTGCTGCTGATGTGGTTGGAGTACATGCTGCGGCAGTTGGTTTTGCAGAGTTGGAACGCCGATCTGCACCTGCATCACTGATTTGACTTCCGGTTGAAATTTGACAAATTGCTGTTCTTGTTGCTGCTGCTGCTGCTGTTGTTGTTGTTGGTGCTGCTGCTGCTGCTGCTGCTGCTGCTGCTGCTGCTGCTGCTGTGGGGTTTGCAGCTCCTGCTGCTGTGCTGGTTGTTGTTGTTGCTGCTGCTGTTGTAATTGCTGCTGGTGAGCTTGCCGCAGCAAGATCTCACTCTTGCTCGGCCTTCCGCGCTTCCGTCTCCCCAATAACGGAAGATCGGCATCTGTATCTGACCTCCTCCTCCTCGACCTTCTGACACGCCCCGATGTTGGGCTCACAAGCCCCTTGGCCACTGCATTATCATGGTCCTTCTGTGCGTACTCTACAAACTGTGCCTTCTCTAGCTCTGGCAAGGTCGCCCATTTCTGTCCCACCAGCCTCTCGATTTCGTGTGCTGTGGCGCCTGGATTCTGCTCTCTTGTTGGCGGTCTGACTTTGGATGCAAACAGGTTGAACGCATGAAGATTGATCGATTTTCCATTCCCATTGACCGATTTCCCATTCTGGGCCCGCGGTGCTGGTTCTGGCGTGCTCGCATTCGTTTTGCCAACCGCCGCCAATTGCAAGTCCTGCACCTCAGATCAAGCACAGTGTGTCAGAAACATGATCCAACATTGGCTTAGGGGCTCTCGCCACCGCTCACCAAATGCAGAAAAGGCAACAATTATGGCGCTGCGACAGCGTGTACGTTTCCATGTTGCTGCGGCAGATTCGTTCTCATTTTGCACATTCGGCGAGTGGCGGAACGAGGCCCTCCAACAGTTTCAACTTTCCATACATCTCAGTGAGCCATGGGATGAAGGCGGCAATTCTGCTCACATGGAGAAAAAGAATCCGCTGAAAAACCGAAGGGTCCTTCGCGATTTATCGAGTTTGAATTCTTTTGCCGAAAGGACGACTTTCAGACTTTGCTCCCCCCCCCAAAAATACACAACACAAAGCCCTATTTGAATGCACCCGACCCGTTTCAGATGTTACACAAAACACAAAGCCCCATCAGAGTGCACCCCACCCGCGACAAACCGTCCAGCTAAGGATCATCCACCTGAGCACCTGATCTATGGTTCTATCAGAATCTATCCTATCTATATGTCTTTTGAAAGGGTTAGGATAGTATTTACACTTTTGATAAATCTAAGCTGTGCCCTAAATCCCACAATAAATGTCGAATTCCGTTGCTCATATGATAGCATAGTGCTAAGAAAGCTAAATTGAACAAACTGAAGATTAACCAATGAGAATAACAAATGATGTAAAAAACAAACAAATAAAAGTGATAAAAAGTCAGACTAACGTTTCTCGACTGCATGAGGGCATGTTTTTGTCACTCCTTGACTCGCAACGAAGAGGTCCTTGCATGTATATACCAGTTCCAAACATTTCACAGCATAGTACTCGTCACTCGTAACACGCAAATAGCTGTGTTAGAGACAGAAAAAGACCACATGCCATTTGCGAACATTTCACAGACCACATGCCATTTGCGAACATTTCACAGTAGCTAACCTACTCTCACTCGAAAAATGCGAGCAGCTGCGTAAGATGTTCCACCATGAGACGGAACAAGACCAGTGATCCCTAGAAAGGGGAGAAAGTTTCAATTTTACAAAAGTGAGCAGAGGCCGACTTGAAAATTAAGACACCAGTCAATTTTGTTGGGCACAACCCATTTTCTGCGGTGCTATTTTGCTTCGCTGGTACTGGGATGCGATCTCAGGCCCTGAACTGGTTTGGCCTTGCGATTTCGAGTTTCGTTGGTGGTGGGATTTGGACCCCGGCGAGTATGCTGTAGGTGTAGACTAGGCTGGGTCCAAATCCCACCACCAACGCCTGGAGGCGTCTTGTGTGAACCCAGCCTACCTTCTTCCCCCGAATACAACGTACGGTCATTATAGCTGTATCTAGACTGAAAGATGCCTCAAATACAGCTATAATGACCGTACGTTGTATTCGGGGGAAGAAGGTAGTCTATATCCCTGGGATTTGGACCCTGGGGTAATCGCCTGGGATTTGGACCCAGGCGAGTATGCTAGTCCCACACCACCAACGCCTGGGGTACTCGCCTGGGATTTGGACCCGGGCGAGTATGCTGTTGGTATAGACTAGGCTGTAACCAATGGGGAAGTACCCCATGTGTGGTGTTCGGGCTAAGTACCGATGGAGGGGTCTTGTGCAGTGGAGCGAAAGTGTGTGAGAATTGCCGCGTCCGTGTGATGTGTCCGTGTGGTGTTGTGCGTGGTGTGGGGCTTGCGTTGGACACTACAGCCTTGCAGGGGTGGGGTGGATATCACGACCGGTATGGTTCCACTTTTTTTTTGACACCGTGTCCTGGCTGTAGGAGATAAGACACTTGCCGCCTGAGGCTTGCTTAGGTCACCGGTTCGAATCCGTGTTTGCACAGAGGACTTTGGCCCGCTGTGTGAAGCTGTGAACCATATTGTTGGCACAGAAAGTATCAGGCTGAATGTCTCGGTTCAACAAAGTCCATACCGTGTAAGTCTGTTTTTCATTCACATTTTTGAGCTTTTAGCCTTTTGCTACTTGTCAACTTGGGGAAATTGGTCGGAAGCTAGGCGACCAGAGTGGGTTGGGCTTACCTGCCCGGCCGAGCCAAAACCGAACAATTTCGGTTGGCCCCTGCGGCAGAAGTTGTTCAGCATATTTTTCTTCATAATGTAGTTCTTTTTCATATTTTTTGGATTTCTTTCTTTTTTGGGAAAATTTTTGAAATGCCCCTGAAGTTTGCGTTTATTTGCAGCATGCCCTTCTGACGGCCGACTTACCTTCTCGCGACCCTCTGACGACGAATGATGTTTCCAGAAAAACCCTGGCATCGTTTGGGCCTCTAACATGTTTCATATGCCTCTACCGGTACCGGTACCAAATTTTCAGTATGCCCCTACCGGCTGCCAGTTGAGAACCAGCAGAAGTGTTTCTCATATGCCCTTACCGGTACCGTCCATCTCTCCAGCAAGCCCCTGTCGCTGTCGTTGACACTCGCAGTCCATATGAGGGAAGAGGAAGGAAGAGGGGGGAAGAGGAGTAGGGAGGACAAGGACTATGACGATGACGGACGAGGGAAGAGGAAGGAAGAGAAGTAGGGAGGACCTTCTACTCGTCATCATATACCACCTGTCCAACAAACAAGTAAACGAAAAGATGACAACAACACACACACACACACACACACACACACACACACACACACATGTGCGCGCGCGTCCACGGGCGATGACGCCAAGAAGACGGCCATGGTGATGGTTAGGAGGTAGACAATCGAGGAGGAGGAGGAGGAGAGGGAGGGTTGACGAGGAGAAAGTTGGAGGAGGGAGAACGAGGGAAGAGGAGGGAAGAGGAGTAGGGAGGACACACAAACACACAACACACACACACACACAACACACACACACACACACACATACATACGCGCGCGCGTGCACGGAGACGGCCATGGTGATGGCTAGGAGGTCTACAATCGAGGAGGAGGAGGAGAGGGAGGGGTGACAAGGAGAAAGTTGGAGGAGGGAGAACGAGGGAAGAGGAGGGACGAGTAGGGAGGACAACGACTACGATGATGGACGAGGATAGAGGATGGAGGCTGGAGGAGAAGAGAGGAGAGCGACGAGCATGGATGGAGGAGGAGGGAGGAGGGCAATGAGCATGGGTGGAGGAGGAGGGAGCAGCGATCCATGGCACGGCGAACTCGAAGACCGACTGCTGCACCATTTTTCGGCGGCGGACCGAAGAAACACCACCAGCAGTCCAGTAAGGGCATATCGGAAAGTTACGCCCCATGCTGCCAGGGGCCTGGAGAAAATTTCAGAGGCCCGAGGGGCATAACGGGGTAAGTCGGCCTTCACAGGGGCATGCCGCAAATAAACGCAAACTTCAGGGGCATTTCGAAAATTTTCCCTTCTTTTTTTTGCACAGACCATGCCTTGCACTTGCGCAGCAGGCCGCCCGAGCAACCAAAACCAAGGTGGCTGGGTGGCCCAGTTCCTAGCCCAGGTGGGAAATGATTTTGCCAGCTCAGTATGTGAGCAGACGAGTTTGTTAAGCCATATAGCCGCCCCATACTCCATCCATAGCCAATCTTTTTTCGTGGCCATCTTTCGTATCGTGACCAGGATGGCTGTACACCAAATTTTGGGAGGCTCCAACATCTTTCGCTGTAAAGAGGCGAAATATTGATTTCCGGTCTTGTGTGCGTGCACTTCAATAAGCATGTAATTGATCTCAACATGTGTGTACAAGTATCAATTCGAACAAGTCGAGTGTGATTCCGACACCCTTATCGGAGCCGGTTGCGACCATGAGAACGTGCCGCATCATTAAGCCAGTTAGAAGTGTCACATCAGAGTTCTGTCAGTGCCATGTCTGTAGTCCATGTGCTCCACATCCTCACTGCAACAGTGAGCTACCTCATATTAGGTATCTTTTTGAAGGACTTTACGAGGGGATTAATCCCACGCATGGGGAGGGGGGAGGGAGGTAAAGGAGGCTGAAAACAAGAAGCTGGCCTACATATTCAAACAGGGTTTGGAGGAAGCTGGGTCAGTGGAAAGGGGACAATTGCTGTGCCAACAGATGCACCCCAGCTGATGCAGTAGAAAAGGATTTGAGAGCTGCTGTAAGGAGGACCCCTCTTCACTCCTCACAAACCAGCTAGCCTTGTTCACAAAGTCTGTCACAGCAACCTGGATCTTCCACCCAGGTGGAGGGCAAAGAGCCTCCCTCTCCAGCCCAAACTAGATCGACCACCAAAATTTAAGGGGGACAAGACAAGGGCATAGACACATTCTTGAGGGTGATTGACAGGCAGGTGGCCTACTGTGCAATCAGACCCGCTTTATTTCTCACTTTGCATGCATACGAACAGATGGCAAACCAAACTGGCGCCAGGCGCCCACTCAAAGCTCTGGGATATGGAGAACAGTTCAGGTGCAAACTCGCTTCCACAGGCTACGGCGACTGCACACCCAACAACTCTCTTCACCGACACTGTGTCCAAACCATTGTTCACAAACACTCCACTCTGGATCCCCTGGATATCCCACACACTTCCCTGTACTACGCACACACACACACACACACACACACACACACTAAATCCTATCTTCAACCTACAGCGGCTATGGCCGCTCAACTACTACTGACTATGGCTACGCTATCTTCCTTCAGCCCACTTCGACTTCGGGCGACCTGCAGACCACCTCGCACAAGACGCTGGGGCAGCGCTTCCGCATGGCTCATGCAGCAATGAATGAATGGCTGGRCGCTGCCTCTTGATTCATACTTCTGTAAGTCGTTGGTCTGCCCTTTTCCACCGGGCCCATGGTGCATACAGTCCCTCATGGTACTTGCTGACTGTACAAAGTGAGACTGGGACTGGGTACCGCTGACTAAGCGAAGTTGGAATCACCACTTGCCCACTTGCCTCTGGTCTGCTGTGTAAAACGTGAGACGAAACTTGAAAGGCCACTTCCAGACCTTGCGGGCTTGGCCTTTCCAGACTGTAGCAGCTACGACCTTGACCTTTCAGGACTGTAGCAGCTACGAGCTTGGCCTT